TGAGGTGGAACGCGGTGACGTCACTACGTGAGGTAGAACGCGGTGACGTCACCACGTTAAGTGCGCGAGGAGAGACGTCACTCCGTTGAGGCGGAACGCGGTGACGTCACCACGTGGAGTGTAACGTGGTGATGTCACTACGTGAGGTGGAACACGGTGACGTCACCCTATGTTAAGTGCGCGCGATGACGTCGCCACGTGAGGTGGAACGCGGTGACGCCACTCCGCTGAGGTGGAACGTGGTGACGTTGCCACGTGAGGCGGAACGCGGTGACGTCGCCACGCGGAGTTGAACGCGGTGACGTCAGCCTACGTTAAGTGCGCGCGGAGAGACGTCACTACGTGAGGTGGAACGCGGTGACGTCACTACGTTAAGTGCGCGCGTAGAGACGTCACTACGTGAGGCGGAACGCGGTGACGTCGACACGTGAGGTGGAACGCGGTGACGTCACCACGTTAAGTGCGCGAGGAGAGACGTCACTCCGTTGAGGCGGAACGCGGTGACGTCGCCGCGTGGGGTCAACGTGGTGATGTCACTACGTGAGGTGGAACGCGGTGACGGCACCCTACGTTAAGTGCGCGAGATGACGTCGACACGTGAGGTGGAACGCGGTGACGTCACCACGTGAGGCGGAACACGGTGACGTCACTACGTTAAGTGCGCGCGGAGAGACGTCACTACGTGAGGCGGAACGCGGTGACGTCACACTACGTTAAGTGCGCGCGGAGAGACGTCACTCCGTTGAGGCGGAACGCGGTGACGTCGCCACGTGAGGTGGAACGCAATGACGTCACCACGTGAGGCGGTGACGTCACTACGTTAAGTGCGCGCGCAGAGACGTCACTCCGTTGAGGCGGAACGCGGTGACGTCGCCACGTGAGGTGTAACGCGGTGACGTCACTACGTTAAGTGCGCGGAGAGACGTCACTCTGTTGAGGCGGAACGCGGTGACGTCGCCACGTGAGGTGGAACGCGGTGACGTCACCACGTGAGGTGGACGTCAGGTGGGACGTGGTGACGTCACTACGTGAGGTGGAACGCGGTGACGTCACTACGTGAGGCAGAACGCGGTGACGTCACTACGTTAAGTGCGCCCGGAGAGACATCCACTCCGTTGAGGCGGAACGCGGTAACGTCACTATGTGAGGCGGAACGCGGTGACGTCACTACGTGAGGTGGGTTAAACGCGGTGACGTCATTACGCGAGGTGACGTCAGTTGGAACGCGGTGACGTCACTACGTGAGGTGGAACGCGGTGGCGTCACCACGTGAGGTGGACGTCAGGTGGGACGTGGTGACGTCACTACGTGAGGTGGAACGCGGTGACGTCACTACGTGAGGCAGAACGCGGTGACGTCACTACGTTAAGTGCGCGCGGAGAACCATCCACTCCGTTGAGGCGGAACGCGGCGACGTCACCACGTGAGGTGGACGTCAGGCGGAACGCGGTGACGTCGCCACCTGAGGTGGAACGCGGTGACGTCACCACGTGAGGTGGAACGCGGTGACGTCATTACGCGAGGTGGATGTCAGGCGGAACGCGGTGGCGTCGCCACCTGAGATGGAACGCGGTGACGTCACTACGTGAGGTGGAACGCGGTGACGCCATTACGCGAGGTGGACGTCAGGCGGAACGCGGTGACGTCGCCACGTGGGGGTGGAACGCGGTGACGTCACTCCATGAGGTGGTGCGCGGAGACGTGGCCACGTGAGGTGGTCGTGGTGTCGTCACCACGGCATCGCAATCTTTCCCCACCCCACGTGAGATGTGGGGCGGGGTGTGAATGCGGTGACGTCAGCGCGTGAGACGAAGTGATGACGTCGGCGCTTGGGGACGACGCGGTGACGTTTCTACGTGGTGACTTTTCTACGTGGTGACTTTACGGAAGAACCACGCCCCCCTTCTGGAATCTACTAAAGCCAGAGATGTCCACTCCCAGAGTACGCCCCCTCTTATACTGTCTCCGTGGCCAGGCTCCGCCCCCTTGCCCCCAGGCCACGCCCCCCTTCTGGAATCTACTACAGCCAGAGATGTCCACTCCCAGAGTACGCCCCCTCTTATACTGTCTCCGTGGCCAGGCTCCGCCCCCGTCGCCCCCAGGCCACGCCCCCCTCGCCCCCAGGAACGCCTCCCTTCTGGAATCTACCAGCCAGAGATGTCCACTTCCAGGGTACGCCCCCCTCTTATACTGTCACTGTGGCCTGGGGAGACACATGGGGACTAGAGGAGACACGGGGAGACACACGGGGACTAGAGGAGACACGGGGACTAGGGGAGACACATGGGGACTAGAGGAGACACATGGGGACTAGAGGAGACACGGGGAGACACATGGGGACTAGAGGAGACACGGGGAGACACACGGGGACTAGAGGAGACACGGGGAGACACACGGGGACTAGAGGAGACACATGGGGACTAGAGGAGACACGGGGAGACACACAGGGACTAGAGGAGACACGGGAGACACACGGGGACTAGAGACACGGGAGACACATGGGGACTAGAGGAGACACGGGGAGACACGGGGACTAGAGACACATTGGGACTAGAGGAGACACGGGGAGACACACGGGGACTAGAGACACGGGAGACACATGGGGACTAGAGGAGACACGGGGAGACACGGGGACTAGAGACACATTGGGACTAGAGGAGACACGGGGAGACACACGGGGACTGGAGACACGGGGGAGACACATGGGAACTAGGGGAGACACGGGGACTAGGGGAGACACGGAGAGACACATGGGGACTAGAGGAGACACGGGGGAGACACGGCGAGACACATGGGAACTAGGGGAGACACGGAGACTAGGGGAGACACAGAGAGACACATGGGGACTAGAGGAGACACGGGAGACACATGGGGACTAGGGGAGACACGGGGAGACACATGGGGACTAGGGGAGACACATGGGGACTAGAGGAGACACGGGGAGACACGGAGACTAGAGGAGACACCGAAGACACATGGGGACTAGGGGAGACACGGGGAGACACACGGGGACTAGAGGAGACACGGGAGAGACACACGGGGACTAGGGGAGACACATGGGGACTAGGGGAGACACAGGAGACACGGGGACTAGGGGAGACACATGTGGACTAGGGGAGTCTGAGACATGGGGGAGACACATGGGCACTAGGGGAGACACGGGGAGACACGGGGGGGGACATTAGGACAAGGTGAGACACGGGGGGGTGGGGACACATTAGGACACGGTGAGACAACGGGAGACGTGGGGACACATTAGGACACGGTGAGACAACGGGAGACGTGGGGACACATTAGTACACGGTGAGACAACGGGAGACGTGGGGACACATTAGGACACGGTGAGACAACGGGAGACGTGGGGACTAGGGCAAGACAGTGAGAAACACGGGGACACAGCGAGCCTGTGGATTGTGGGTTTTTTTATTGAATGTCAATAATTCTACAAAACGGTTCCCACATGAACAGATAAAACACAGAGGGGGTGGGGTTGACTGCGTTACCGTTGTGTGCTGGGTTGTTAAGTTGCGTCATTGTGTCTGCCTCGTGCGTGTCTCGTGTCTCGTGCGTGTCCACGTGCGTGTCCACGTGCGTGTCCACGTGCGTGTTCCCGTGCGTCTTAGCCATCGTGTCGAGTGCACACTGCCGTCTCCAAAGTGTGAAGTGTGTGTTTGCGTCTCTGTGCGAGTGAGCGGGTGTGTCTCTCTCTCTCCATCTCCACGTGTGTGTGTCGGTGTGTCGGTGTGAGTGTCTCTGTCTCAGAGTGTGTGTCTGTCTGAGTGTGAGTGTCTCTGTCTCAGAGTGTGTGTGTCTGTCAGAGTGTGAGTGAGTGTCTGCGAGTCTGTGTCACCGAGTGTGTGTGTCTGTCTGAGTGTGAGTGAGTGTCTCTGTCTCAGAGTGTGTGTGTGTCTGTCAGAGTGTGAGTGTCTCTGTCTCAGAGTGTGTGTGTCTGTCTGAGTGTGAGTGAGTGTCTGTGTCTCAGAGTGTGTGTCTGTCAGAGTGTGAGTGAGTGTCTCTGTCTCAGAGTGTGTGTGTCTGTCAGAGTGTGAGTGAGTGTCTGTGTCTCCGAGTGTGTGTCTGTCAGAGTGTGAGTGAGTGTCTCTGTCTCAGAGTGTGTGTGTCTGTCAGAGTGTGAGTGAGTGTCTGTGTCTCAGAGTGTGAGTCTCTGTGCGAGTGAGCGGGTGTCTCTCTCTCTCTCTCTCCACGTGTGTGTGTGTCGGTGTGAGCGTGTCGGGGTGAGCGAGTGGCTGTGAGTGTCTGTGTCTCCGAATGTGTGTGTCAGAGTGTGAGCGAGTGTGAGTGTCTGTGAGTGTCTGTGTCTCCGAGTGTGTACGCGAGTGTGAGTGTGTGTCTGTCTGAGTGTGAGTGAGTGTCTGCGAGTGTCTGTGTCTCAGAGTGTGCACGCGAGTGTGAGTGTCCGTCTGAGTGTGATTGTCTGTGTCTCAGAGTGTGAGTCTCTGAGTGAGTGTCTCCGAGTGTGTGTGTCTCCGAGTGTGTCTGAGTGTGTGAGTGTGTCTCCGAGTGTGTGTGAGTGTGTCTCCGAGTGTGTGTGTGTCTCCGAGTGTGTGAGTGTGTCTCCGTGTGCGTGTGTGTGTCTCCGTGTGCGTGTCTCCGAGTGTGTGTGTGTCTGAGTGTGCGAGTGTCTCCGAGTGTGCGTGAGTGTGTCTCCGAGTGTGTGTGAGTGTCTCCGAGTGTGTGTGTCTCCGAGTGAGTCTCCGAGTGTGTGTGTCTCCGTGTGTGTGTGTGTCTCCGAGTGTGTGTGTGTGCGTGTCTCCGAGTCTCCGAGTGTGTGTGTGCGTGTCTCCGAGTGTGTGTGCGTGTCTCCGAGTGTGTCTCCGAGTGTGTGTGTCTCTGAGTGTGTCTCCGAGTGTGTGTGTGTCTCCGAGTGTGTGTGCGTGTCTCCGAGTGTGTCTCCGAGTGTGTGAGTGTGTCTCTGAGTGTGTCTCCGAGAGTGTCTCCGAGAGTGTCTCCGAGAGTGTCTCCGAGTGTGTGTGTGTGTCTCCGAGTGTGTCTCCGAGTGTGTCTCCGTGTGCGTGTGTGTGAGCTGGTTCGATGGACTCCTGTGGCATGATCTCTCTCTCTCTTCTCTTTTAAAAGAACTGTCCGGAGTATTGCTTCACACTGTGTGCGCACACACGCGCACACACACATACACACACACACACAAACAAACATATACACACACACACAAACACACACGCGCAGACACACACAGACAGACGTACACACGTACACAGGCAGAGGCGGATACACACACGGACGTAACGCAAACACGTGCAAAGACACACAGATCGACACACACACACACACACACGCACGCACACACACGCACACACACAGACAGACGGATACGCAAATGCACAAAGTGTGTACTCGCACAGTCAAACAGAGACACAGAGACACACAGAGGGTTACACTCGGACACACACACACACACAAAGAAACCCGCAGATACAAGGAAGTACTCACGCGCGCCTCACACACACACACACAGACGTACGTGCACATTCACTGACACACACACACACAAACAGAGACCCAGAGACATAGAGGAACCAGGGATCCACCAGATAAATCACACACACACACAGACAGACAGACACACACACACACACGGATACGCACACAGAGACACACAGAGAGAGAGAGAGACGCAGAGACACGCACAGACCGGGTGTTGGAGTGAGCGCTGGGGTGGGTGGGTGGGGGTTCATGGTGGCGGTTGTTGCTAAACACCGGGAGGGCTGTGCCACGCTCAACCCACTCGCTCACATCCCCATACGCTCACGCACGCTGCCACGCCGAGGCACAGTTACACACACGGCGCAGAGACGCGCGGAGACGGAGACGCGCAGAGGTAGCGAGACACAGACACGCGCACAGACACAGACACACAGACACGCACAGACACACAGATACATACAGAGATACACACACACAGATACACGCAGACACACACAGAAATACACACACACACAGAGATACACACACACAGATACACGCAGACACACACAGAGATACACGCAGACACACACAGATACACACAGACACACAGAGATACACACACACAGATACAAACAGAGATACACACAGACACACACATAGAGATACACACACACAGAGACATGCATAGAGGCACAGACGCGCACACACACACACACAGATACACACACACACAGATACACACACATAGAGAGACAGAGACATGCGTAGAGGCACAGACAGACACACAGATACACACACACATAGAGAGACAGAGACATGCGTAGAGGCACAGACAGACACACAGAGACACACACACAGAGACACAGAGACATGCGTAGAGGCAGACACACACACACACAGGGATACACACAAAGATACACACACAGAGACACAGAGACATGGGTAGAGGCACAGACACACACACACAGAGATACACACACAAAGAGACACACAGAGACATGCGTAGAGACACAGACGCACACACACACAGAGAGATACACACACAGAGATACACACACACACACAGACACAGAGACATGGGTAGAGGCACAGACACACACAGAGATACACACACACAGAGACACACAGAGAGACATGGGTAGAGGCACAGACACACACAGAGACACACACAGAGACATGCGTAGAGGCAGACACACACACACACACAGAGATGCACACACACACAGAGATACACACACACAGAGACACAGAGACATGGGTAGAGGCACAGACACACACACACACACGGACGGACACACACACACAACAGACGGACGGAGATACACACAGAGTCACAGACGACACAGGGGACAATCGCACACAGACACAGACACACGGAGGCAGAGACACGCACGGAGACATGCATGCAGTATCGTAGACACAGCAGACCCGCACACGGACGCGCACAGTCACGCACGCACGCAGGAAGACAAACATACACACACAGCAATGGGTTTTGAGATTAATACAGACGCACGCACTCACACACTCTCACACTCTGGGTACAAAGTGTGAGGGTGTGAAAGAGTGAGTGTGTAAGAGCGCGTGTGTGTGTGTGTGCGAGTGAGAGTGAGTGAGTGAGTGTTGGCGAGAGTGTGTGAGTGTCAGAACGAGCGTGGGAGCGAGTGAGAGAGTGAGTGTGAGTGAGTGCGAGCGAGAGAGAGTGTGAGAGTGTGAGTGTGTGCGAGTGAGTGTGAGAGAGAGTGAGTGTGAGTGTCAGAACGAGCGTGGGAGCGAGTGAGAGAGTGAGTGTGATTGAGTGCGAGTGAGAGAGAGTGTGAGAGTGTGAGTGTGTGCGAGTGAGTGTGAGAGAGAGTGAGTGTGTGTGAGTGTCAGAACGAGCGTGGGAGCGAGTGAGAGAGTGAGTGTGAGTGAGTGCGAGCGAGAGAGAGTGTGAGTGAGAGAGTGTGAGAGAGAGTAAGTGTGAGAGAGTGTGAGTGAGTAAAAGAGTGAGAGTGTGTGAGTGTGTGTGAGAGTGTGTTTGTGAGTGTGTGAGAGTGTGAGAGTGTGAGTGTGTTTGTGAGAGTGTGAGAGTGTGAGTGTGTTTGTGAGAGTGTGAGAGTGTGAGTGTGTTTGTGAGAGTGTGAGTGTGAGAGTGTGTGTGAGAGTGTGAGAGTGTCTGTGAGAGTGAGTGTGTGTGTGAGTGAGAGTGGGTGTGAGAGGGTGTGTGAGTGTGAGAGTGTGTGTGTGTGTGAGAGTGAGTGTGTGAGAGTGAGTGATAGTGTGAGTGTGTGAGAGTGTATGTGTGTGTGAGAGTGTCTGTGAGTGTGAGAGTGAGTGTGTGTGAGAGGATGTGTGATTGATGTGATGTGTGTGTGTGAGAGTGAGTGATAGTGAGAGTGAGTGATAGTGTGAGTGTGTGAGAGTGTCTGTGAGAGTGTCTGTGTGTGAGAGTGTCTGTGAGAGTGTGTGAGAGTGTGAGAGAGTGTGTGTGTGAGAGTGTGTGTGTGTGAGTGTGTGAGAGTGTCTGTCTGTACACCATAGGTGGTGCTGCTACTCGCTGCACTGCACTTGCCCCTACAGCCCTGCTAGAGGCTACCCGGGGGAGCTTTGTCTTTGTTTGTTGAAGGCAGAAACCTTCCCCCACTCCTCCCCCTCTACACCCCCCCCCCACTCCTCTCCCACCTCCTCCCACTCCTCCTCCCCCCCACCTCCTCCTCCTCTCCCTACTCCCCCCCCACCACTTCCTCCACCACCTCCTCCCCCTCCACCACCTCTCCCATCTCCCCCTCCACCTCCTCCCCCCCCCACTCCTCCTCTCCCCCCCACTCCTCCCCTCCTCTCCCTACTCCCCCCCCACCCCCACCACCTCCTCCTCCCCCACTCCTCCTCCACCTCCTCCTCCACCTCCTCCCCCTCCACCTCCTCTCCCTACTCCACCCCCTCCACCTCCTCCTCCACCTCCTCCTCCCCCTCCCCCACTCCTCCTCCCCCTCCCCCACCTCCTCCTCCACCTCCTCCTCCCCCTCCTCTCCCTACTCAACCCCCTCCCCCTCCTCCTCCTCCTCCCCCTCTCCCTCCTCCCCCACTCCTCCTCCACCTCCTCCACCTCCTCCTCCCCCTCCTCTCCCTACTCCACCCCCAACCCCCACCACCTCCTCCACCTCCCCCTCCTCCACCTCCTCTCCCTACTCCTCCACCTCCTCCCCCTCCTCCTCCCCCTCCTCTCCCTACTCCACCCCCTCCTCTCCCTACTCCACCCCCTCCACCTCCTCCACCCCCTCCTCCCCCACTCCTCCTCCACCTCCCCCTCCTCCTCCCCCTCCTCCACCTCCTCCACCTCCTCCTCTCCCCCCCCCCCACGCCCTCACCTGTTCTGCAGCAGGTACTGAGCATTCTGGATCTGGTCCTGCGTGCCCGTGATGGTGATGATTCTCTCCTCGGAACCCTCCAACGGCTCGTCGATCTTGATGGAGGCGCCCGACTCCGCACGGATCTGCTTAATCCTCATGCCACCCTTGCCAATGATGGAGCCGGCCAGCTGCGAGGAGAGGGAGGAGAGGGAGGAGAGGGAGGAGAGGGAGGAGAGGGAGGGAGGAGAGGGAGGAGAGGGAGGAGAGGGAGGGAGGAGAGGGAGGAGAGGAGAGGGAGGAGAGGGAGGGAGGAGAGTGAGGGAGGAGAGTGAGGGAGGAGAGGGAGGAGAGGGAGGGAGGAGAGGGAGGGAGGAGAGGGAGGGAGGAGATGGAGGGAGGAGAGGGAGGGAGGAGAGGGGAGGGAGGAGAGGGAGGAGAGGGAGGGAGGAGAGGGAGGGAGGAGAGGGAGGGAGGAGAGGGAGAGAGGAGAGGGAGGAGAGGGAGGGAGGAGAGGGAGGAGAGGGAGGAGAGGGAGGGAGGAGAGGGAGGAGAAGGAGGGAGGAGAGGGAGGGAGGAGAGGGAGGGAGGAGAGGGAGGAGAGGGAGGAGAGGGAGGGAGGAGAGGGAGGGAGGAGAGGGAGGAGAGGGAGGGAGGAGAGGGAGGGAGGAGAGGGAGGGAGGGAGGAGAGGGAGGGAGGAGAGGGAGGGAGGAGAGGGAGGGAGGAGAGGGAGGGAGGGAGGAGAGGGAGGGAGGAGAGGGAGGAGAGGGAGGGAAGGGAGGAGAGGGAGGGAGGAGAGGGAGGAGAGGGAGGGAGGAGAGGGAGGAGAGGGAGGGAGGAGAGGGAGGAGAGGGAGGGAGGAGAGGGAGGGAGGAGATGGAGGGAGGAGAGGAGAGGGAGGGAGGAGAGGAGAGGGAGGAGAGGGAGGGAGGGAGGAGAGGGAGGGAGGAGAGGGAGGAGAGCGAGCGAGCGAGAGGGAGGAGAGGGAGGAGAGGGAGGGAGGAGAGGGAGGGAGTGAGCGAGCGAGAGGGAGGAGAGTGAGGGAGGAGAGGGAGTGAGTGAGCGAGCGAGCGAGAGCGACCAAGGGCCGAATGAGCGAGTGAGTGGCGAGCGACTCACGTCCTTGGGGATGGACACCTGTGAACTGGTCACGGGGCCGCCCATTGAGCCGTAGGATCCACCCCCTCCACCGCCCCCTCCACCGCCCCCTGCTGCACCTCGACCTGAGACACGCGGGGAGAGACAGGCGGGGAGAGACAGGCGGGGAGAGACAGGCGGGGAGTGACAGGCGGGGAGACACGCGGGGAGAGTGAATGAGTGGGCGAGTTAATGAGTGGTTGAGTGAATGAGTGGGTGAGTGGTTGAGTGAATGAGTGGTTGAGTGAATGAGTGGATGAGTGAATGAGTGAGTGGTTGAGTAGTTGAGTGGGTGAGTGAATGAGTGTTTGAGTGAGTGGTTGAGTGAGTTGGTTGAGTGGGTGGTTGAGTGGGTGAGTGGATGAGTGAATGAGTGAGTGAATGAGTGAGTGGTTGAGTGTGGTTAAGTGGGTGGTTGAGTGAGTGGTTGAGTGAGTGGGTGGTTGAGTAGCTAAGTGGGTGAGTGGTTGAGTAAGTGGGTGGTTGAGTGAGTGGATGAGTGAATGAGTGGTTGAGTGAGTGGTTGAGTGTGGTTAAGTGGGTGGTTGAGTGAGTGGGTGGTTGAGTGAGTGGATGAGTGGTTGAGTAAGTGTTTGAGTGGTTGAGTTAGTGGGTGGGTGGTTGATTGAGTGGTTGAGTGGGTGAATGAGTGGATGAGTGAATGAGTGAGTGGTTGAGTAGTTGAGTGGGTGAGTGTATGAGTGAATGAGTGTTGGCGTGAGTGGTTAAGTGGGTGAGTGGATGAGTGAATGAGTGGTTGAGTGAGTGGTTGAGTGTGGTTAAGTGGGTGGTTGAGTGAGTGGTTGAGTGAGTGGGTGGTTGAGTGGATGAGTGTTTGAGCAAGTGGTTGAGTGAGTGGGTGGTTGAGTAGGTGAGTAGCTGAGTGGGTGAGCGGGTGAGTGTGTGAGTGGTTGAGTAAGTGGGTGGTTGAGTAGGTGAGTAGCTGAGTGGGTGAGCGGGTGAGTGTGTGAGTGGTTGAGTAAGTGGGTGGTTGAGTGAGTGGATGAGTGTTTGAGTGAGTGATTAAGTGGGTGGCTGAGTGAGTGGATGAGTGTGAGTGAGTGTTTGAGTTAGTGGGTGGGTGGTTTACTGAGTGTTTGAGTGAGTGGGTGGTTGAGTAGGTGAGTGGGTGAGTGTGTGAGTGGTTGAGTGAGTGGATGAGTGTTTGAGTGAGTGTGTGAGTGGTTGAGTGAGTGGATGAGTGTTTGAGTGAGTGAGTTAGTGGGTGGGTGGTTGAGTGAGTGTTTGAGTGAGTGGGTGGTTGAGTAGGTGAGTGGGTGAGTGTGTGAGTGTTTGAGTGAGTGGATGAGTGGTTGAGTGAGTGGTTGAGTTAGTGGATGAGTGTTTGAGTGTTTGAGTTAGTGGGTGGGTGGTTTACTGAGTGTTTGAGCGAGTGTTTGGGCGGGTGGCTGAGTGTGGGTCTCACCATATCCAGACTTGAGTGGCAGATCACGGGTCGCGAGAGGTCACAGGGGTTAGGGGTCACAAGAGAACCGAGGTCACGTTAACACAGAATAAGACTCTTCAATCAGACTGCAAGAATCCGAAGAGCTAGCAAGCTCTTTTCAAAAACAGTTGTCCAGTAGCTCAGCACACACAGACAGAGCTGCCCCAGGTAGCCTCTAAAAGGGCTGTGGGTGCCAAGTGCTGTCAGTAACGAGTAGCAGCACCACCTATGATGTACACACAAAGCTCCCCCAGGTAGCCTCTAAAAGGGCTGTGGGTGCCAAGTGCTGTCAGTAGCGAGTAGCAGCACCGGATATGATGTACACACAGACAGAGCTGCCCCAGGTAGCCTCTAAAACGGCTGTAGGGGCAAGTGCTGTCAGTAGCGAGTAGCAGCACCACCTATGATGTACACACAAAGCTCCCCCAGGTAGCCTCTAGCAGGGCTGTAGGGGCAAGTGCCGTGAGTAGCAGCACCGGATATGAAGGCCGGAACGGCACGCAAGGGGGTGGGTGGCCAGCACCACGCCCGGCCGCCTTTGTCTCCCCAGTGGCGATGTACACTCCAACACCGCTACACCAGGTGACTCATTTGAGGCTGAGTCGACCTAGGGGAGGCCCAGGACCGGTTCAGATAATCGTCACCGGCGGTGTTGGCCGTGAGCGGGGATCGAACCCGGGTCGCCGGGTTCGTAGTGCAGGGCAGCGCTACCCCGCTCCCACCCCTACCGCTCCCCACAACACAGACGCACACACAGACACACACACAGACAGACACACACTCACTCATGCGTGTGTGTGCGCATCGCACTATATCCGTGTAATGGTGCGTCTCTCTCCGTACACCCTTCAAGATCACCCTCTCTGTAGCTGTGTCTCTCGTTCAATGTCTCTCCGTGTGTGTGTCTGTGTGTATGTGTCTCTCGTTCAGTGTCTCTCCGTGTGTGTGTCTGTGTGTATGTGTCTCTCGTTCATTGTCTCTCCGTGTGTGTGTCTCTCGTTCATTGTCTCTCCGTGTGTGTGTGTCTCTCGTTCAGTGTCTCTCCGTGTGCGTGTGTCTCTCGTTCATTGTCTCTCCGTGTGTGTGTCTCTCGTTCATTGTCTCTCCGTGTGTGTGTGTCTCTCGTTCAGTGTCTCTCCGTGTGTGTGTCTCTCGTTCAGTGTCTCTCCGTGTGTGTGTCTCTCGTTCATTGTCTCTCCGTGTGTATGTGTCTCTCCTTCAGTGTGTCTCTCAGCGTGTCTCTCAGCGTGTCTGTCTCTTGTCTCTCAGCGTGTCTCTCCCTGTCTCTCAGCGTGTTTCTCAGTGTCTCTCCCTGTATCTCAGTCTCTCAGTCTCTCCCTGTCTCTGTCTCTCAGTGTCTCTCAGCGTGTCTGTCTCTTCGTGTCTCACAACGTGTTTCCCTGTGTCTCCGTGTCTAACAGCGTGTCTCCCTGTCTCCCAGCGTGTCTCTCAGCGTGTCTCTGTCTCTCCGTGTCTCACAGCGTGTCTCTGTCTCTCAGTCTGTCCCCAGCGTCTCTCTCTCACCATGTCTTCCTCACCGTATCCTCCTCCCACAGTGTCTCCCTGTCTCTCAGCGTGTCTCCGTGTCTCTCAGTGTCTCTCAGCGTGTCTCTCTATCTCTCCGTGTCTCTGTCTCTCCCTGTCTCTCAACGTGTCTCCGTGTCTCTCAGCGTGTCTCTGTCTCTCCCATGTCTCTCACAGCGTGTCTCTGTCTCTCAGTGTCTGTCCCAGCGTCTCTGTCTCTCACCATGTCTTGCTCACCGTATCCGCCTCCCTCAGTGTCTCTCCCTGTCTCTCAGCGTGTCTCTTGTCTCTCTCAGCGTGTCTCCGTCTCTCCGTGTCTGTCCCAGCGTCTCTGTCTCTCACCATGTCTTCCTCACCGTATCCGCCTCCCTCAGTGTCTCTCCCTGTCTCTCAGCGTGTCTCTGTCTCTCCCTGTCTCTCAGCGTGTCTCTGTGTCTCTCAGCTTGTCTCTCTGTCTCTCCCTGTCTCTCAGCGTGTCTCCGTCTCTCTCCGTGTCTCTCTCAGCGTGTCTCCGTCCCAGCGTCTCTGTCTCTCACCATGTCTTCCACGACGTATCCGCCTCCCTCAGTGTCTCTCCCTGTCTCTCAGCGTGTCTCCGTGTCTCTCAGCGTGTCTCTCTGTCTCTCTCAGTGTCTCTCACAGCGTGTCTCCGTCCCAGCGTCTGTCTCTCACCATGTCTTCCTCGACGTACGCTCCTCCGTATCCGCCTCCCTCAGTGTTTCTCCCTGTCTCTCAGCGTGTCTCTGTCTCCCTGTCTCACAGCGTGTCTCTGTCTCTCTCATCGTGTCTCTGTCTCTCCGTGTCCTCTCTGTCTGCCCCAGCGTCTGGCCTCACCATGTCTTCCTCGTCGTATCCGCCTCCCTCAGTGTCTCTCCCTGTCTCACAGCGTGTCTCTCCGTCTCTCAGCGTGTCTCTGTCTCTCCGCGTCTCTCAGCATGTCTCTGTCTCTCCCAGTCTCTCAGCGTGTCTCCCTGTCTCTCAGCGTGTCTCTGTCTCTCCGTGTCTCTCACAGCGTGTCTCTGTCTCTCCGTGTCTCCGTCCCAGCGTCTCTGTCTCTCACCATGTCATGCCCACCGTATCCGCCTCCCTCAGTGTCTCTCCCTGTCTCTCAGCCTGTCTCCCTGTCTCTCAGCGTGTCTGTCTCTCAGCGTGTCTCTCTGTCTCTCCCTGTCTCTCAGCGTGTCTCCCTGTCTCTCAGCGTGTCTGTCTCTCAGCGTGTCTCTCTGTCTCTCCGCGTCTCTCAGCGTGTCTCTCTGTCTCTCCGCGTCTCACAGCGTGTCTCTCTGTCTCTCCGTGTCTCTCACAGCGTGTCTCTCTGTCTCTCTCCGTGTCTCTCTGTCTCTCTCCGTGTCTCCGTCCCAGCGTCTCTGTCTCTCACCATGTCTTCCTCGACGTACGCTCCTCCGTATCCGCCTCCCTCAGTGTCTCTCCCTGTCTCACAGCGTGTCTCTCCCTGTCTCTCAGCGTGTCTCTGTCTCTCTCCGTGTCTCTCACAGCGTGTCTCTCTGTCTCTCTCAGCGTGTCTCTCTGTCTCTCTCCGTGTCTCTCCGTGTCTCCGTCCCAGCGTCTCTGTCTCTCACCATGTCTTCCTCGACGTACGCTCCTCCGTATCCGCCTCCCTCAGTGTCTCCCTGTCTCTCAGCGTGTCTCTGTCTCTCCGTGTCCTCTCTGTCTGCCCCAGCGTCTGGCCTCACCATGTCTTCCTCGTCGTATCCGCCTCCCTCACTGTCTCTCCCTGTCTCTCAGCGTGTCTCCCTGTCTCTCAGCGTGTCTCCCTGTCTCTCAGCGTGTCTCTGTCTCTCTCAGCGTGTCTCTCTCAGCGTGTCTCTCTGTGTCTCTGTCTCTCACAGCGTGTCTCTCTGTCTCTCCGCGTCTCTCTCTGTCTCTCCGTGTCTCTCACAGCGTGTCTCTCTGTCTCTCAGCGTGTCTCTCTGTCTCTCTCCGTGTCTCTCCGTGTCTCCGTCCCAGCGTCTCTGTCTCTCACCATGTCTTCCTCGACGTACGCTCCTCCGTATCCGCCTCCCTCAGTGTCTCCCTGTCTCTCAGCGTGTCTCTGTCTCTCCGTGTCCTCTCTGTCTGCCCCAGCGTCTGGCCTCACCATGTCTTCCTCGTCGTATCCGCCTCCGTATCCGCCGCCGGACCTCATGGGGGGCCCAACACCGTAACCCCCCACTCCACCACGACCCCCACGCTCACTGAGACACACGCGCGGAGACACGCCGTGGAGGGGGGTGGGGGGCGGGGGGGGGGAGAGACACGGGGGGGAGAGACACGGGTTCACGGTGGACGTGTGGGTGGGTGGGGTTCACGGTGGACGTGTGGGTGGGTGGGGTTCACGGTGGACGTGTGGGTGGGTGGGGTTCACGGTGGACGTGTGGGTGGGTGGGGTTCACGGTGGACGTGTGGGTGGGTGGGGTTCACGGTGGACGTGTGGGTGGGTGGGGTTCACGGTGGACGTGTGGGTGGGTGGGGTTCACGGTGGACGTGTGGGTGGGTGGGGTTCACGGTGGACGTGTGGGTGGGTGGGGTTCACGGTGGACGTGTGGGTGGGGGGGGTTCACGGTGGACGTGTGGGTGGGGTTCACGGTGGACGTGTGGGTGGGTGGGGTTCACGATGGCCGTGTGGGTGGGTGGGGTTCACGGTGGACGTGTGGGTGGGTGGGGTTCACGGTGACCGTGTGGGTGGGTGGGGTTCACGGTGGACGTGTGGGTGGGTGGGGTTCACGGTGGACGTGTGGGTGGGTGGGGTTCACGGTGGACGTGTGGGTGGGTGGGGTTCACGGTGGCCGTGTGGGTGGGTGGGGTTCACGATGTCCGTGTGGGTGGGTGGGGTTCACGGTGGCTCTGTGGGTGGGTGGGGTTCACGGTGGACGTGTGGGTGGGTGGGGTTCACGGTGGACGTGTGGGTGGGTGGGGTTCACGGTGACCGTGTGGGTGGGTGGGGTTCACGGTGTCCGTGTGGGTGGGTGGGGTTCACGATGTCCGTGTGGGTGGGTGGGGTTCACGGTGGCTCTGTGGGTGGGTGGGGTTCACGGTGGACGTGTGGGTGGGTGGGGTTCACGGTGGACGTGTGGGTGGGTGGGGTTCACGGTGGACGTGTGGGTGGGTGGGGTTCACGGTGGACGTGTGGGTGGGTGGGGTTCACGGTGGCTCTGTGGGTGAGTGGGTGGGGTTCACGATGGCCGTGTGGGTGGGTGGGGTTCACGATGGCCGTGTGGGTGGGTGGGGTTCACGATGTCCGTGTGGGTGGGTGGGGTTCACGGTGGCCGTGTGGGTGGGTGGGGTTCACGATGTCCGTGTGGGTGGGTGGGGTTCACGGTGGACGTGTGGGTGGGTGGGGTTCACGGTGGACGTGTGGGTGGGTGGGGTTCACGGTGGACGTGTGGGTGGGTGGGGTTCACGGTGGACGTGTGGGTGGGTGGGGTTCACGGTGGACGTGTGGGTGGGTGGGGTTCACGGTGGACGTGTGGGTGGGTGGGGTTCACGATGGCCGTGTGGGTGGGTGGGGTTCACGGTGGACGTGTGGGTGGGTGGGGTTCACGGTGGACGTGTGGGTGGGTGGGGTTCACGGTGGACGTGTGGGTGGGTGGGGTTCACGGTGGACGTGTGGGTGGGTGGGGTTCACGGTGGACGTGTGGGTGGGTGGGGTTCACGATGGCCGTGTGGGTGGGTGGGGTTCACGATGTCCGTGTGGGTGGGTGGGGTTCACGGTGGCTCTGTGGGTGGGTGGGGTTCACGGTGGACGTGTGGGTGGGTGGGGTTCACGGTGGACGTGTGGGTGGGTGGGGTTCACGGTGACCGTGTGGGTGGGTGGGGTTCACGATGGCCGTGTGGGTGGGTGGGGTTCACGGTGGACGTGTGGGTGGGTGGGGTTCACGATGGCCGTGTGGGTGGGTGGGGTTCACGATGTCCGTGTGGGTGGGTGGGGTTCACGGTGGCTCTGTGGGTGAGTGGGTGGGGTTCACGATGGCCGTGTGGGTGGGTGGGGTTCACGATGTCCGTGTGGGTGGGTGGGGTTCACGGTGGCTGTGTGGGTGGGTGGGGTTCACGATGGCCGTGTGGGTGGGTGGGGTTCACTATGTCCGTGTGGGTGGGTGGGGTTCACAATGACCGTGTGGGTGGGTGGGGTTCACGATGACCGTGTGGGTGGGTGGGGTTCACGATGTCCGTGTGGGTGGGTGGGGTTCACGGTGTCCGTGTGGGTGGGTGGGGTTCACAATGACCGTGTGGGTGGGTGGGGTTCACGGTGTCCGTGTGGGTGGGTGGGGTTCACGGTGGACGTGTGGGTGGGTGGGGTTCACGGTGGACGTGTGGGTGGGTGGGGTTCACGGTGACCGTGTGGGTGGGTGGGGTTCACGGTGACCGTGTGGGTGGGTGGGGTTCACGATGACCGTGTGGGTGGGTGGGGTTCACGGTGTGTGGGTGGGTGGGTGGGGTTCACAATGACCGTGTGGGTGGGGGGGGTTCACGGTGACCGTGTGGGTGGGTGGGGTTCACGGTGGACGTGTGGGTGGGTGGGGTTCACAATGACCGTGTGGGTGGGTGGGGTTCACTGTGACCGTGTGGGTGGGTGGAGTTCACGGTGACCGTGTGGGTGGGTGGGGTTCACGGTGACCGTGTGGGTGGGTGGGGTTCACGGTGACCGTGTGGGTGGGTGGGGTTCACGGTGTCCGTGTGGGTGGGTGGGGTTCACGGTGTCCGTGTGGGTGGGTGGGGTTCACGATGTCCGTGTGGGTGTCACTCACCCTGGGCGACCTCCCCCTCGTCCCTCCCGGCTCCCCCTCATCCCCCCACCTCCGCCCCCCCCTCCGCGGCGAGCGCCCCCCTCATAGCCCCCCATGTCACGGCGGCCCCCCTCATAGCCTCCCTGACGAGACACGCGGGGGGGGAAATCCGAAGATCAACAAAGCTTTTCGTCAACGGCAGCCAACATACCGCGGCCTGCGGCAGGGTTAGGTTCGATCGGCCACAAAACACCACCACCACACCAACACCACCACCACACCAACACCACCACCACACCAACACCACCACCACACCAACACCACCACCACACCAACACCACCACTACCACTACCACCAGCAAACCAACACCACTACCGCCACCACCACCACTATCACCACCACCACACCAACACCACTACCACTATCACCACCACCACACCAACACCACCACCATTACCACTATCACCACCATCACCACCACACCAACACCACCACTACTACCACCACTACCACCACTATCACCACTATCACCACCACCACTATCACCACCACCACTACCACCATCACTATCACCACCACACCACCACCACTACCACCACCACTACCACCACCAGCAAACCAACACCACCACTACCACCAGCAAACCACCACCACCACACCACCACCCCTACCACCACCACCACCCCTACCACCACCCCTACCACCACCCCTACCACAACCACCACCACCACTACCACCACCATCACCACCACCACCGCCACCACCACCACCGCACGCGCCAGGCCACACCAGGCCCCACCCCCCACCTGCATCCCCATGGGCGGCCCCGGCGGTGGCCCCTGCCGGCCTCCCCCCGGGCCCCTGTCGTAGAAGCGGCCGCCGCCGCCGCCGCCGCCGCCGCCGCCGCCGCCGTGGTGCGGGGGGCGTGGCGGGGGGCGGCCCCATCCCGCGCCGGGCCCCGCCCCCCTCTCGTCGTAGGCCATGGTGAAGCCGCCGTAGTCGTAGGTCTCATCGTAGAAGTTGGGGTCGTAGGGCAGCGATCGCCCCTTGATCTGAGACTGGGAGGGGAGAGGGAGAGGTGGGTGGGGAGATGTTGGCTCCTTCGTCGGGCACGTGAGAGTCTCTGTGTGTGTCTGTGTCTGTGTGTGTCTGTGTGTGTGTGTGTCTGTGTGTGTGTGTCTGTGTGTGTGTCTGTGTGTGTGTGTGTCTGTGTGTGTGTGTGTATGTCTGTGTCTGTGTGTGTGTCTGTGTGTGTCTGTGTGTCTCTGTGTGTCTCTGTGTGTCTCTGTGTGTCTCTGTGTGTGTCTGTGTCTGTGTGTGTGTCTGTGTCTGTGTGTGTGTCTGTGTCTGTGTGTGTGTGTCTGTGTGTGTCTGTGTGTCTCTGTGTGTCTCTGTGTGTCTCTGTGTGTCTCTGTGTGTCTCTGTGTGTCTCTGTGTGTCTCTGTGTGTGTCTCTGTGTGTGTCTCTGTGTGTGTCTCTGTGTGTGTCTCTGTGTGTGTCTCTGTGTGTGTCTCTGTGTGTGTCTCTGTGTGTGTCTCTGTGTGTGTCTCTGTGTGTGTCTCTGTGTGTGTCTCTGTGTGTGTCTGTGTGTGTCTCTGTGTGTCTCTGTGTGTCTCTGTGTGTCTCTGTGTGTCTCTGTGTGTCTCTGTGTGTCTCTGTGTGTATATGTCTCTGTGTGTGTATATGTCTCTGTGTGTCTCTGTGTGTGTATGTGTGTGTGTGTATGTGTGTGTGTGTATGTCTGTGTGTGTGTCTCTCTGTGTCTCTGTGTCTTTGTGTGAATGTGTCTCTATGTGTCTCTGTGTGTGTCTGTGTGTGTCTGTGTGTGTGTGTCTGTGTGTGTGTGTCTGTGTGTGTGTGTCTGTGTGTGTGTGTGTATGTCTGTGTGTGTATATCTGTGTGTGTCTGTGTGTCTGTGTATGTGTGTGTCTGTGTGTGTGTATGTCTGTGTGTGTCTGTGTGTGTATGTATGTCTGTGTGTGTATGTATGTCTGTGTGTGTGTATGTCTGTCTGTGTGTGTGTATGTGTGTGTATGTCTGTCTGTGTGTGTACCTCCTGCAGGTCGTAGAGGATGGACTTGAGGCACTCCACGACGCTGTCCGGCTTGCCGGAGATGAGCACCACGCGGTCCGTGGAGCGGGGGCAACACTCCTGGAACACCTTGATGCTGGTGCTGGTCCTCTGCGGTAAACAGCCACGGGGAAAGGGGTAAACAACAACAACAACAACAACCAACGGTCACCAGGGTCAACGGTCAACAGGTGAGCGTGGGTGGGGGAGTAGCCGAGTGGGTGGATGAACAAGTGAGTGGGTGAGTGGGTGAGTAGCTGGGTGAGTAGCTAGGTGCGTAGCTGGGTGAGTAGCTCAGTGGGTAGATGAACAAGTGAGTGGGTGAGTGGGTGGGTGAGTGGGTGAGTAGCTGGGTGAGTAGCTGAGTCAGTAGCTAGGTGAGTAGCTGGGTGAGTAGCTGAGTGGGTGGATGAACAAGTGAGTGGGTGAGTAGCTGGGTGAGTAGCTGGGTCAGTAGCTAGGTGAGTAGCTGAGTGAGTAGCTGGGTGAGTAGCTGGGTCAGTAGCTAAGTGAGTAGCTGGGTGAGTAGCTGAGTGAGTAACTGAGCAAGTAGCTGGGTGAGTAGCTGGGCGAGTAGCTGAGTGAGTAGCTGGGCGAGTAGCTGAGCGAGTAGCTGGGTGAGTAACTGGGCGAGTAGCTGGGTGAGTAGCTGGGTGAGTAGCTGGATGAGTAGCTGGGTGAGTAGCTGGGTGAGTATCTGAGTGAGTAGCTGGGCGAGTAGCTGAGTAGCTGGGTGAGTAGCTGAGTGAGTAGCTGGGTGAGTAGCTGGGTTAGCAGCTGAGTAGCTGGGTGAGTAGCTGGGTGAGTAGCTGGGTGAGTAGCTGGGTGAGTAGCTAGGTGAGTAGCTGGGTGAGTAGCTGAGTGAGTAGCTGGGTGAGTAGCTGAGTGAGTAGCTGGGTGAGTAGCTGAGTAGCTGGGTGAGTAGCTGAGTGAGTAGCTGGGCTCATCACATCACGGAGCTCCTTGATCTTGGCCCCCTTGAGTCCGATGATGCCTCCCGCCTGGCTCTGGTGGACCAGCATCCGCGTCTCGCACTCAAAGTCCCGGTTCTTGTAGTGCTGGTACTGAAGACACGCAAAGATCCCCCACGTAGAAGTTCGCACGTGTGTGTACGTGTGTGTGTACGTGTGTGTACGTGTGTGGGTGTACGTGTGTGTGTGCGTGTGCGTGTGTGTGTGCGTGTGCGTGCGTACGTGTGTGTACGTACGTGTGTGTACGTGTGTGCGTACGTGTGTGTGTGTGTACGTGTGTACGTGTGTGGGTGTACGTGTGTACGTGTGTGTGTGTACGTGTGTAGGTGTACGTGTGTGTGTGTACGTGTGTGGGTGTACGTGTGTGTGTGTGTATGTGTGTACAAACGTGTGCGCACATGGGTGTACGTGTGTGTACGTGTGTGGGTGTACGTGTGTGTACGTGTGTGCGTACATGCGTGTGTACGTGTGTGGGTGTACATGTGTGTACGTGTGTGTACACGCCTGTGTGTGTACATGTGTGTACGTGTGTGTGTACGTGTGTGTACACGCCTGTGTGTGTACATGTGTGTGTGCGTGTGTACACGCCTGTGTGTGTACGTGTGTGTACACGCCTGTGTGTGTACGTGTATGTGTATGTACGTGTGTGTACATGTGTGTGTACGTGTGTGTACACGCCTGTATGTGTACGTGTGGGTGTACATGTATGTGTACGTGTGTGTACGTGTGTGTGTACGTGTGTATGTACGTGTGTGTGTACGTATGTGTGTACGTGTGTATGTACGTGTATGTGTACGTGTGTGGGTGTACGTGTGTGTGCGTACATGCGTGTACATGTGTGTGTGTACGTGTGTGTACACGCCTGTGTGTGTACGTGTGTACACGCCTGTGTGTGTACATGTGTGGGTGTACATGTGTGTACGTGTGTGCGTGTGTACACGCCTGTGTACGTGTGTGTACACGCCTGTATGTGTGGGTGTACGTGTGTGTGTACGTGTGGGTGTACATGTGTGTATGGGGAGCGATAGTGTAGCGGTTAGCGCTACGCTGCGCTATGAACCTGGTGACCCGGGTTCGATTCCCGCTCACGGCCAACACCAGTGACGATTATCTGAACCGGTCCCGGGGCTCCCCTAGGTCGACTCAGCCTCAAATGAGTACCTGGTGTAGCGGTGTGTAAACATCGCCACTAGGGAGACAAAGGCGGTCGGGCGTGGTGCTGGCCACCCACCCCCTCGTGTACCGTTCCGGCCTTCATAGGTGCTGCTCGCTAACAGCACTTGCCCCTCCAGTCTGTTAAGGCTATATGGGGGATCTTTGTCTTGTACGTGTGGGTGTACATGTATGTGTACGTGTGTATGTGTACGTGTGTGTGTACGTGTGTGTGTGTACGTGTGTGTGTGTATATGTGTGTGTACTTGTGTGTGTACGTGTGTGTGTGTACGTGTGTGTGTGTGTGTACGTGTGTGTGTACGCCTGTGTGTGGACGCGCAGCGGTGTCGCGGTTAGGGGAGCCACAGACACACACACAGGCGAAGGGAGACGCAGACAGACAGACAGACAGCGACGAGAGAGCGAGACTCACCTCCTCGAGTGCGGGGATGACGTGTCCCATGACGTGTCCGATGGACTCGATGGAAGCGATGACGATGAGAATGCTGCTCGCCGAACAGCAAGCGGGCGCCGGGAGACACGGAGAGACACGGACGCAGAGAGACAGGGACGAGGCGGAGAGACGAGACGGAGAGCCATGCAGGGAGAACGATGGAGAGGACAGGGACAGAAACACGGAGACAAATGGAGAGGTGGACAGAAGGGGAGAGGACACAGAGACACAGAGACAAGACCGACGGACAGACAGGTAGAGAAACACGGAGACAGACGGAGAGAGACAGACGGAGAGAGACAGACGGAGAGAGACAGACGGAGAGAGACAGACGGAGAGACACGGACACAGAGAGACACGGACGGAGAGACAGACACGGAGAGAAGGACACGGAGATACACGGGCACAAAGACACAGAGAGACAGGAGACACGGACACAGAGAGACGCAGACACGGAAGGAGAGACAGACACGGAGAGACAGACACGGAGAGCCACGGACACAGAGAGACACAGACACGGATAGACACGGAGAGACAGCGCGAGAGACACAGACACGGAGAGACAGCGCGAGAGACAGGAGACACAGACACGGAGGCCGACGGACAGGGGACATGCACACACACGCACAGACACACGCACGCACACACACACACGCACGCACACACACGCACAGACACACGCACACACAGACACAGGCACGCACACACACACGCACGCAGGTTAGCAAAACACGCACACACGCCTGCATGCCACGCAACACGGCAAGTAAAACAAACGAACAAGAGGCCACCTTTAATTTGGTTCACACCCAAGCTGGGCCACCTACTGAGCGACACTCCCGTCACCGCTCGCATCGCTTCGTAGGGCGACGTGAGCCTGATGCTGCTGCTGCGTGTTTAGAGTCTGCGTGTGTCTCTCTCATCATCATCGTCATCATCGTCATCATCGTCATCATCGTCGTCACGGCGGCTAGGGAGATGGTGGCGGTTAGGTCATCACATAGCAAGAGTGGGTGATGGTGGTGGTTGTGGTGTTGGTTGGTTGATCGTCGGGTTAAGGTGGCTCACATTAGAGAAGCCTCGGGGGCAGTGGTGTTTGGGTACTGGTGGTGGTGGTAGTTGGGTAGTAGTTGTGGTAGTAGTAGTTGTGGTGATTGGGTAGTAGTTGTGGTAGTAGTAGCTGTGGTGATTGGGTAGTAGTTGTGGTAGTAGTAGTTGTGGTGATTGGGTAGTAGTTGTGGTAGTAGTAGTTGTGGTGATTGGGTAGTAGTTGTGGTAGTAGTAGTTGTGGTGATTGGGTAGTAGTTCTGGTAGTAGTAGTTGTGGTGGTTGGGTAGTAGTTGTGGTGGTAGTAGTTGTGGTAGTAGTAGTTGTGGTGGTAGTAGTTGTGGTGGGTTGGGTAGTAGTTGTGGTGGTAGTAGTTGTGGTAGTAGTAGCTGTGGTGATTGGGTAGTAGTTGTGGTGGTAGTAGCTGTGGTGATTGGGTAGTAGTTGTGGTAGTAGTAGTTGTGGTGATTGGGTAGTAGTTGTGGTAGTAGTTGTGGTGATTGGGTAGTAGTTGTGGTGGTAGTAGTTGTGGTGATTGGGTAGTAGTTGTGGTGGTAGTAGTTGTGGTGACTGGGTAGTAGTTGTGGTGACTGGGTAGTAGTTGTGGTAGTAGTAGTTGTGGTAGTAGTAGTTGTGGTGGTAGTAGTTGTGGTAGTAGTAGTTGTGGTGGTTGGGTAGTAGTTGTGGTGGTAGTAGTTGTGGTGACTGGGTAGTAGTTGTGGTGATTGGGTAGTAGTTGTGGTAGTAGTAGTTGTGGTAGTAGTAGTTGTGGTGATTGGGTAGTAGTTGTGGTAGTAGTAGTTGTGGTGATTGGGTAGTAGTTGTGGTAGTAGTAGTTGTGGTGACTGGGTAGTAGTTGTGGTAGTAGTAGTTGTGGTGATTGGGTAGTAGTTGTGGTGGTAGTAGCTGTGGTGATTGGGTAGTAGTTGTGGTGGTAGTAGTTGTGGTGATTGGGTAGTAGTTGTGGTGGTAGTAGCTGTGGTGATTGGGTAGTAGTTGTGGTGGTAGTAGTTGTGGTGATTGGGTAGTAGTTGTGGTAGTAGTAGTTGTGGTGATTGGGTAGTAGTTGTGGTAGTAGTTGTTGTGGTGATTGGGTAGTAGTTGTGGTAGTAGTAGTTGTGGTGATTGGGTAGTAGTTGTGGTAGTAGTTGTGGTGATTGGGTAGTAGTTGTGGTAGTAGTAGTTGTGGTGATTGGGTAGTAGTTGTGGTGGTAGTTGTGGTGACTGGGTAGTAGTTGTCGTGGTTGGGGACAGGGTTCAGATTTTCACCGCTCCCTCTGTCGGCCATGGACAGGAAATCAAACCGCTTGCACCACCGCTCCCCCCACACACGGACACACACAGACACACGCACACAGACACACGCACACAGAGACACACACACAGAGACACACACACAGAGACACACACAGACACACGCACACACAGACACATGCACCACAAGCAACCATCATCAGGTAGAACTAAATTTGAGAGAGTAATTCCTGCAGTCACGAAAGCTTCAAATCGAGTTTCAATTCTGGTTCCGTTTTCCGTCCGAAACCAGAAATTCAGTTTCGGTCGGCCCACACACGTAGCGAGACACGCACACACACCCCACACACATAGCTAGACTCACACACACACCCCACACACATAGCTAGACTCACACACACACCCCACACACGTAGCTAGACACACACACACCCCACACACGTAGCTAGACACACACACACCCCACGCACATAGCTAGACACACACACACACCCCACACACGTAGCTAGACACACACACACCCCACACACGTAGCTAGACACACACACATACCCCACACACGTTAGATAGACACACACACACACCCCACACACGTAGCTAGACACACCCCACACACGCAGATAGATACACACAGACAGACAGACAGGACGCGTGCAACATAACATACCGCTCGGGACCACTGCTGTCAGGAACTGTTATGGTGGCATTGTACTGTGGTTGGTCGGATAGGGCGGGGCCAGGCAGGGGCCGGGCAGGGGCCGGGCAGGGGCCGGGCAGGGCCAGGCAGGGCAGGGCCAGGCAGGGGCCGGGCAGGGCCAGGCAGGGCAGGGCCAGGCCAGGCAGGGCAGGGCCAGGCAGGGCAGGGCCAGGCAGGGCAGGGCCCCCAATCACATCGGGCCGGGCAGGGGCCGGGCAGGGCCGGGCAGGGCCGGGCAGGGCAGGGCCAGGCAGGGCAGGGCCAGGCCAGGCAGGGCCAGGCAGGGCAGGGCCCCAATCACATCGGGGCCGGGCAGGGGCCAGGCAGGGCAGTGCCGGGCAGGGCAAGGAACGGCTCCACCACCACACAACCCCCCCACACACATCCCCCGGGATTGGTGGGTGGTTGGTTGGTGGGGAGGAGGAGAGGTTGGTTGGTTTGTTGGTGGCGGTTGAAGTTTGCAGGTTCGAGTTGCCAGGCCCAGCATTGGTGGGTGGAGGTGGTGGTGGTGGTGGTGGGGGGCCCCCGTTGTTGGTGTGGAGGCCATTGGGGGGCAGGCGGGGGTTTGGAGGCCACCACCCACACAGGCCCAGAATGGTGGTGGTGGAAAGGGGAGGGAGGGGGTGGAGAGGGGGGAGTGGTCGGTGGGTGGGTGGGTTGGTGAGTGGGTGGGTGATTGGGTGGGTGGTTGAGTGGGTGGTTGAGTGGGTGAGTGAATGGGTGGGTGAGTGGGTGGGTGGTTGAGTGAGTGGGTGGTTGAGTGGGTGGTTGAGTGGGTGGGTGAGTGGGTGGTTGAGTGGGTGGGTGGGTGAGTGGGTGGTTGAGTGGGTGGTTGAGTGGGTGAGTGGGTGGTTGAGTGGGTGGGTGAGTGGGTGGTTGAGTGGGTGGTTGAGTGGGTGGTTGAGTGGGTGGTTGAGTGGCGAGTGAGTGGGTGGTTGGGTGGGTAGGCGAGCGAGCGAGTGGGTGAGTGGGTGGGGTAGGCGAGCGAGTGGGCGGGTGGGTGGGTGGGTGAGGATTTTTTTTGTTTGCTGGGCGGGAAGGTGGGTGGGCGGGTGGGGCAGGGTGGTGGGAGATCAGAGGGAGGAGGGGGGGGGTGAGAGAGGAGGGGAGGGAGATACACCAGAACACAAGGACACACGCACGCACGCACACACGCACGCACACCTCTTTAGACACGCGACATCGTTTCTCCGGTAGGCCACGGGTGGCAGAACACCGCCACCACCCCCCCATCCCCCACCCCGCGCAGGGGGCCCCGGGGCGCGTGGGGAACTTTGCCGCCGGTTTATTTTGGTGGCGGTCAGACGCTGCCCACAGAGAGAGTCACGTGGGTGGGTGGGTGGCACTGTGGGGGGTTGGTGGTGGTGGTCAAAGGGCTGAGGGGCAAGGGGTGGCGTGGGGGGGGGGGGCGAAGGGGCTGGGGGCTGGTGGGGAGGAGGGCGTCGAGTGTTCATAGAGTGGGCGGGATTTGGTGGAGTGGGTGGGCGGGCGAGTGGGTGGATAATTAAGTGGGTGAGGAGGTGGGTGGGTGTGTGGGTGGGTGTGTGGGTGAGTGGGTGGGTGAGTGGGTGGATGGATAATTAAGTGGGTGAGGAGGTGATTGAGTGCATGGATGAGTGGATGGGTGAGTGGGTGGGTGAATGGATAATTAAGTGGGTGAGGTGGTGAGTGGGTGTATGGGTGAGTGATTGGGGTAGGTGGGTTGAGTGGGTGGGTGAGGTGGGTGGATAATTAAGTGGGTGAGGAGGTGAGTGAGTGTATGGGTGTGTGGGTGAGTGGGTGTGTGGGTGAGTGGGTGGGTGTGTGGGTGAGTGGGTGGGTGAATGGATAATTAAGTGGGTGAGGAGGTGAGTGAGTGTATGGGTGTGTCGGTAGGGTGGGCGAGTGCATAATTGAGAGGGTGAGGGAGTGTGTGTGACTGAGTGGGTGTGTGGGTGGGTAATTGAGTGGGTGAGGAAGTGAGTGAGCGTGTGGGTGAGTGATTGGGATGGGTGGGCGAGTGGATGGGTGGATAATTGAATGGGTGAGGAAGTGAGTGAGCGTGTTCGTGTGTGGGTGCGTAGGTGTGTGACTGGGTGGGTGAGTGATTGGGATGGGTGGGTGAGTGAGCGGGTGGGTGAGTGAGTGGTTAAGCGAGCGAGTGGTATAGCGAGTAGCGTAGTGAGCGGGTGAGTGAGCGGTTGAGTGAGCGAGTGGTGTAGCGAGTAGCGTAGTGAGCGGGTGAGTGAGTGGTTGAGTGAGCGAGTGGTACAGCGAGTAGCTTAGTGAGCGGGTGAGTGAGTGGTTGAGCGAGTGGCATAGCGAGTAGCGTAGTGAGCGGGTGAGTGAGCGGTTGAGTGAGCGGTTGAGTGAGCGAGTGGTACAGCGAATAGCGTAGTGAGCGGGTGAGTGAGCGGTTGAGTGAGCGAGTGGTGTAGTGAGTAGCGTAGCGAGTGGTTGAGCGAGTGGTGTAGCGAGTAGCGTAGTGAGTGGTTGAGCGAGTGGTGTAGCGAGTAGCGGAGTGGTTGAGTGAGCGAGTGGCATAGCGAGTAACTTAGTGAGCGGGTGAGCGAGTGGTTGAGTGAGCGAGTGGTATAGCAAGTAGCGTAGTGAGCGGGTGAGCGAGCGAGTGGTACAGCGAGTAACTCAGTGAGCGGTTGAGCGAGCGAGTGGTGTGGCGAGTAGTCTAGCGAGCGATCCGTAACGATCGCACCAAATCGGCAAGTGCCGTCAAGGCCGTGGCTTTGCGGACATCCCAATTCCGTTTGTGGCCCAATCGGGTGGTGGTGGTGATGGTGATGGATGGGGGAGGAAATGTCACGACACAAAACGCGGCCAAGATCCTCACGCTCCTAGTGGCTGCTGTGGGATTGCCCCGTGTGGTTTTTAAACGCAGCGCGTGGCTTGGCGCGTGGATTAGCGTGTGGCTTGGCGCGTGGCTTGGCATGTGTGGCTTGGCGTGTGTGGCTTGGCGCGTGGCTTAGCGCGTGGCTTGGCGCGTGGCTTGGCGTGTGGCTTAGCGCGTGGCTTAGCGCGTGGCTTAGCGTGCGGGACTTACATCGGCTCGCAGAGCCTTGATGTGTTTCCCTCCCTTGCCGATCACGGCTCCGGCATTCTGCAGCACGCACGGTGGGTGGGGAGGGAGGGGTGGTGCACGGAGGGAGTCCAATTAAATCACTGCGGTGCGCCGGACACCACGATGGAGGGGGTAACTAAACCATTTTAAATGTTTCACGGGGTTACATTCTTCCGGTAAAGCGATGGAGACGAGAAGAAACGCAATCATAAATTTAAAAAAAACAATAACATTACATTTTTTATATTCTTAGTTTTTTCGGTAAAGTCACATTGAAGAGAAACAACAAAATAACAAAATATATATAAAACAATAAAAATTCTCACGACGTTTCGACCATAACTCAAACGGTCATCAATTCCCACTCAGTTCGAGATTGGTCCCCTACCCGCCCCTGGTCCATCATGGCCCGTGCACCTCCTACGTACATCGAGCTCATGTTAACGCAAATTCCCTTTGTCAGAGCGTTTTGCTTCCTCCCACACAGCCTAAAGGATGCGACCTGTGGGCTTGGCTGTTTCCACTCCCAACGCTGTCCTCGCGACAGCACGGTCCCCTTCACCTGATGAAGGCCGCCTGCGTTTGTGGCCGAAACGTCGTTTTTGTTGTCGTTTCAGTTTTATTTTTACCTACGCGACTTTACCGAACAGAACCGGAGGGCAAGTTCCCGCTCAGCTTCGCGGTTCCCTTTGTCCAGACGGGACTCCTGGCCATCACAAAGCAGGTGGGGGGGCTAGGGGAGCCCCCACGACCTCCTGCGTACCGGGAGAGGTCGGTCAACATCCCACAAGCGAACGTCTCACCCTGCTCTGCATGAGGACGCGCAGCTCCACTCGGGAATCGTCGTTGTTGCGCGACCGCTTGGTCGACTGCTCCTCTCCGGAGTCCTCCGCAGGGCGCTTGCCTTCGTGCGCACGCAGACACGCGCACGCAGAGACACGCACACGGAGATATAGAGAGACACGCGCAGAGACACACGCACGCACACACAGAGAGACACGCACAGAGACACACGCACGCACACACAGAGAGACACGCACAGAGACACACGCGCAGAGACACACGCACACGGAGATATAGAGACACGCGCGCAGAGACACGCACACAGAGACACGCACATGGAGATATAGAGACACACAGAGACACACACAGAGACACACACGGAGATATAGAGAGACACGTACAGAGACACGCGCAGAGACACACGCACACAAGAGACACACAGAGACACACACAGAGACACACACACAAAGACACGCACACGGAGATATAGAGGCACACAGAGACACGCACAGAGACACACACACACAGAGACACACACAGACACACACACACACAGAGACACACACACAGAGATATAGAGGCACACACACAGAGACACACACACAGAGATATAGAGACACGCACAGAGACACACACGCACAGAGACACGCACACAGAGATATAGAGACACGCGCAGAGAGACACACACACAGAGACACACACGGAGATACAGAGACACACACAGAGACACACACGGAGATAGAGACACACAGAGGCACACACACAGACACACACACAGAGACACACAAAGATACACAGAAACACACACGGCACTTGGCCCCGACAGTCTGCTACAGGCTACATGGGAGATCTTTGTTGGTTGTGTGTCTGTGTGTGTGTCTGTGTGTGCGTGTCTTTGTGTGCGTGTGTCTGTGTGCGTGTGTCTGTGTGCGTGTGTCTGTGTGCGTGTGTCTGTGTGCGTGTGTCTGTGTGCGTGTGTGTCTGTGTCTGCGTGTCTGCGTGTGCGCGTGTCTGTGTGTGCGCGTGTCTGTGTGTGCGCGTGTCTGTGTGTGCGTCTTTGTGTGCGTGTCTGCGTGTCTGCGCGTGTGTCTGCGTGTCTGTGTGTGTCTGTGTGTGCGTCTGCGTGTGTGCGTGTCTGCTTGTGTCTGTGTGCGTGTGTGTCTGCGTCTGCGTGTCTGTGTCTATACGCGCGCGTGTCTCTGTACGGGGAGCGGTAGGGTAGCGCTACAAACCCGGCGGCCCGAGTTCGATTCCCGCTCACGGCCAACACCGCCGGTGACGATTATCTGAACCGGTCCTGGGCCTCCCCTAGGTCGACTCGGCCTCAAATGAGTCACCTGGTGTAGCGGTGTGTAGTGAACATCGCTAGCACTGGGGAGACAAAGGCGGTCGGGCGTGGTGCTGGCCACCCACC